TAACTTTTCGGATTTTGATTTTCCGTAAATGATTCGAATCATATAATTATGATTCGAATCATATAATTATGATTCGAACCAAAGTTACACTTTCTCAAATGCATTCTGCGCAATTGCTTTGAATCAACTTTTTGTGATTCGAACCCCAATCCTGAAAATATTTTGAAAATTCTTTAACAATCTTCCCCCTGCAGGAAAGCATCTGGATCTGCTCTGCTCTACTCTGTCCGGTTGCTGCTCTTGCCGGTTGTGGGTGCAAATTCCTTTGAATTTTCGGTAAGCAACAGCCATTAATTCCTTTGTTCTTGCTTGAATTGGCTTGGGTTTACCTTAATTTCTCTTAGTTCTCCAATTTTGGGTAGATTTCCATGAGTTCCCTACAGATCCCGCCGGCCTCCTCCCCAAACTGCAGCACCGGTTTTAGCTGAAAAATCTGGTATGTTGACAGCTCCAAGCTTGAAATTTTATCAGTTATTTGCTGCCCTGTGTGTGTCCGAATTTTGCTGGAAAAATGGGAGGAATTCCGGTAGCAATTAAGAGCATTTTAAGTGTGTTTTGTTGCTTAATTCATGTAGAAAATTAGTTAATTGACTGTTGTATTTTTTGGAGAGAAAATCCCGTGAATTAGCTAGTGTTTTGGTCAATTTTGGAAGTGCAGTACTATTCACGATACTGTTCACGCACTGATGGTCAATAATTAACGGGGATTAAATGATTAGTTTGTAATATATAGGAATAGCATCGTAATTAGGGGGTAGTCATGATGATTTCACTTTGAATTTGTGATAGTGCGGAATTAATTCTTGGATATTTTGATTAGGTTCCTGATCGTTCTGTCAGTTTAGCACTGAGATCGAGTCTTCGATTTTATGCGAGTGAGGTAAGTAAATTTATGGTAATGCCCGTACTGTTTTTAAAAGCATGTTTTGACTTGTTTTTGAAGTGGTGGCGGGACTAAACCCGTTTTATGCAAAAGTAAGTATGACTGATTTGAAGTGAAATTTTTATGCTTTTCATTAAATTGAGCATGCCTACTTGAGATTTAATTGATTGTCCTGATGATTTGAAAGTGATTGGTGAATTATGATTTTTCTGTTAACTTCTGCCTGTTTTGTCTCCGATGTGGTCATGTTATTAGTGACCCTGCTAGTGGGGGTTAAACGCTAGCACATGTCGACATGTTTACTGATATGATCGGTAAATTCTGACGCCTGCCAATGGGCGAACACATTGGTAAATTCTGACGCCTGCCAGTGGGTGTTATACGCTGGCCATGACTTATAGAGGAGACGTCTATTTCGTTCCCGTATTGTATCCGTTTTTCGTGATTGCACATGTTGGCATGCTGTAAGTTTAATTATGGGCACTCCATATTTACTTACTGAGATATTTTATCTCATAGTTTTTCCTTGTCCACCATTTCAAGAAGCGAGGTCAAGGACGGGGAAAAAGAAGGGGAGTGACGAGTTAGAAGGCTAGCCATCTTGTAAAGTGAACATAGATTTTAGATATAGATCATGATCTTGTAAACTAGACTTTAATTGGAGATTTTATAAAGTCATTTAATGGATTGTTAGTTTACAAGAGATTTGACCTTGAGATTTTAAGTTTAAGTCATGTTGGATATAGAAATATTTTGATTGAGATATTTGATTTAAATTATTGGATTGTCAGATGTGAATTGGATAAGTTCCGAGCCTTATGCATTTGTAGGACCGACTCACGAGTGCACGGCGTTTGTCGCGCCTCAAATTCAGGTTTTGGGGCGTGACAATGGGTTTCGCTTGAGTCGCTTGACTTGCCAATCAATAGCAAGTGGTTTCAAATTAGAGCTAAATTCTTGGCAGTGTACAAAAAAATAGGCCACTGATGGGCCATAGCTTTTGTACATAAGTGATGTATCTATCATTGGACCATTTTTCACGTCAAAATGTAGAAAAAAAGAGAGTGAGATACATCAACTAAAATTCCTTACTCTTCCATTTCAACATAATGTCATCTATATAAGCCCTTCACCATGCATGATCTTTAAATTGGTTCTAACAGCGAACAAGTATTCACAGTACATATTGACTTCAAAGAAATATTAAAGAGGGGATTCTATACCTGATTTTGCAAGCGAATAAAAGGCTCTTCTACGCCATCTTTAAGGAAAGAAATGATTTATTTGATTAGAAATAACTTTATATTTGTCAATTCTAGCCAGTGACGTTTTTGGCTTAGTGGTAAAAGTTGAGTTCTTACAATTCATAAGTTATAGGTTCTAAATTCTGTAAATTTAAGTGTTCCCTTATTATTTGTATTGTATTCTACATCAAAAAATACTATACAACGTTGGTACGAGATTGATCATAAATATTTTCTATGTGTATATTAACTTTGACTTTTACCACTAATTATGTAATGGTAAT